TATCAAGAATTTTTATTATATATTTCATTATTTATTTTTATTAATTATTATTATAAAACCACAAAAATTTATTCTAGTAAATTTAAACATTTTAAAATGCATAAATATTAAGAATAATAATTAAAATAAGAAAAATAATATATAAAAAATCTATAAAAAATTTTAAAATTTTTTTTACCTAAATCGAACTTGTCAATGGTTTGGTCAACGTGCAATTTGATCTGACGGTTTGGTCTAACGTCAGCGGTTTGATCTGGTTCGAGTGGTTTGATTTAGTTCGGTTCAGTCTGGGTCAAGTGCACTGACCCCAGGTCGGGTCACGGGTTACCGCGCGGATCCTCAGGAGCTAAAACGACATCGTTTTGGTTTTTATTAAAATGACGTCGTTTTGGTTTTGGTAGTTTATATAAAAGGGTCAAAAAAAAAATTTTCAGTCATTCCCTCCTCTTTTAAAAAAAAAACCTCTCTCCTCTCTCTTAAACAAAACCCAAGGGGGGGGACGGCCGGTCATCGTCACCGCCGTCATCACCGCCGTCATTGGTCGTCGACCGCCGTCATCGGTGACCGAAAAAAACCAAAATCACCTAAAATGTTCCCTTTAATCCTCTAAACACAGATCCAACCTCTGTTTCACCTGAAGTGTCCCAAACAGTGCAGATCTAGCTTGGAAGTTTTGGCCAAAAAATTTTTTTTTTGTATTTGTGTGTTGTTTTTTTTTTCCTTTCTTTTTTATGTTGGCGCTAGGTTCCTCGTTCCAAGGGATAGTGTTTCTGAATTTTTTGCTTTTTTAATTTTTTTGTAGGGTATTTGTTTTAGACAGAAAGCTTTTTTTTTTTTGAAAATTTTTTGGCAATTTTTTTTTCGATCCCTCTTTAACAAGCTCTATTTATAAAGCTTTCTGAGATTCAAATCCCAGATTTTCTGAGATTCGAATCCCATATTTTCAACCCAAAATCTACGCTGCCAAGTTAGGCAACGTGTCAGGCGACTGTCGATGGTGGCGGCCTCTGGCATTTTGGACTTTTGGTGATGGTACATTTAATGTACTCATACCTTAGTAAACTTGAATCAGATAAGGAAGCAGAAAAAAGAAAAAGAAAGAAAAAAGAAAAATAATAAGAAAAGAAAGAAAAATAATAATAATACAAAATGGTGTTTACAGTAATCAAACTAAACCATTAAGTTTTTTTTTTCTTTTTTTTTTTTATCATTGAGATTCAAGTGCATTTGGTTCTTAACTTTTAGTTGGCATTTAAAGGGTGGAATAGTATTTGATTATATTCGCCACCGCTACAGTTAATACGTTTACATGCAACTAAACAGTAACTTCTTTTTCTCTCCGTTCAGATTCAAGAAAACTTGAATGAACTTGATGTAATCCCATTGCTGAATCCTGCAGTTATGGAGAAGATTGAAGCTGTTGTTCAAAGCAAGCCAAAGCGATCAGATTCGATTAATTTAATTTGAAAATCAAATTAATTAAATTAATTAAAATTTTAATCAAAATATAATATAATTTAAATATAAAATAAAAAATAAATGAAATTAATTATTTTTTTCATAAATTGTTAAAATTTTTAATGTAATATTTTGTTTGATAATTTTATTTAATTTATTTAAAATATGAAAAGTTAAGAATTTAAAATATAATTTAACTTAAATATATTTATTATTTGATTAATCAAAAAAATTAATTAAAATAATCAAATTAAATTCGATCCATTAATTTTTAAAATTAATAAATTTAATTTAATTAACAAAAGTTAAATGATATAATTTAATTAATTTAATTTTAAATAATTCTATTCAAAATTAAGCAAATTAACAGAATAAAAATTCCTATAAACCATGAACCTTTGGACTAATGGAATAGCATACGCTGCTCTATTCAAAAAATAATTAAAAAAATTCATACCCTACTTCGACTTGGCTTCAACTTCCACTTAGCTAGAGATGTAATCGAGTTGAGCCGAGTTAGTACACTGGGATGCTTGAGCTTGAGCTCGATTCAAAAATCAAAGCTTGAAACTTAGCTCAAACTTTATTCGAGGTAAAACTCAAGTCGAGCTTGAGTTCATTTAGTTCGAATCATAATAGAAGGGGATTATTTAGCAAAAACACTTTGAATAATCCCAACAAAAATTTAAGGGGATTATTTAAGGTATTTTTTGAATAATCCAAAAAAAAATTGAAAGATATTTTTCAATAATCCCCAAAAAACTTGAAAGGTATTATCTAAGGCATTTTTCTAACAAAAATGCATTGAATAATCCCGAAAAAAATTGAAGAGGATTATTCAAAGCATTATTCAAGGCATTTTCCAGCAAAAATGCTTTGAATAATCATAAAAAAAAAATTTAAGGGGATTATTCGAGGTGTTTTCTAACAAAAACGTCTTGAATAATCCTAAAAAAATTAAAAAAGATTATTCAAGGTGTTTTCTGTAAAAACACCTCAAATAATCTCCAAAAAAATTGAACGAAATTATTCAAGGTGTTTTCTGATAAAAAAGCTTTGAATAATTGTCAAAAAAAATTGAAGGGGATTATTCAAGACATTTTTGATAAAAATGCCTTTAATAATCCCTAGCAAAAATGCCTTGAATAATAAAAAGAAATAAAAAATACCTTGAATAATCTCAAGAAAAAATGCCTTGAATAATAAAAAAATTAAATAAGATTATTCAAGACTTTTTTTTGTCAAAAACGCCTTGAATAATCTCAAAAAAAAATTGAAGGAGATTATTCAAGTCATTTTATGGTAAAAACACTTTAAATAATAATAATAAAAAAAAACAGGATTATTCAATATATTTTTGTTAAAAAAATTTTAAGGAGATTATTCAAGATGTTTTTTGGTAAAAACACCTTGAATAATTCCTAAAAAATATATATAATAGAAAAACTTGATTAGGTTCGCGAGCTATTTGAGTCAGGTACTAATATACTCGAACTCGACTCGTTCAATAATTTGAGCTGTTCGAGCTTGAGTTACGTTCGACAATTATCGAATCAAATTCGAATTTTAATTAAATCGAATTCGAATAACTTATGAATATTAATGTATCGTTTACATCCGTATACTCAGTACACCCTGTTTTTCATGCCCTATTTCCTCAAAAAAAATCCAAAAAATTACACAATCTAACATTGAAAATGTTCATACCACACCTCGAAAATAAAAAATATTATCCATATCTCTTGACCATTGGACTCAATGCCACCTATAGTCGTCGACAGCTTTCATTTTATGTTAGATTTTAGATTGGATAAATAATTCTTAAAATATAATAAAAAATTTAATGTGGTATTTAATTTTTAAAAATTTTTAATATGATATTCAAATTATAAATTTATTTATTAATATAAGATTTAATTTTAATGTGATCAATTTCAAATAATGATACATAACAGATAAATATTTTTTAAGTATCATTTTAATTAACATATTATAATTTAGATATCACATTATAGATTATTAAAATTCAAATATCTTATTAAATATTTATTATAATTTAACAATTATTTAATATGACATTAAACCTTTTAGATTAGTAGGACATGGTATAGCAAAGTGTTGGCATGGAACTAGTTGTAGCGTCGATTTATTAGAAATGTAGGAAATTGAAGTTATGGTGTTTGGTTGACAACCAACGATGTGAAGTGAATCAACACAGCACTAATAACACCAAGTTTACTGATCTAATTTTGTTACAAAACTGTGGTTGGAGAACTGTATTGCTTCGTAAACTATAACGGAAAACTCCACTAATTCTCAACTTTAATGTCAACCATGGCTGAAAATTCAGAAATTATTGTTAAATATTGCCTTAATTTATAATTTACATATTAATTAACCACTAATTTTTCTGTGTCTTCCCCATAAAAAAAAAAAAACAACTAAAACAAGTTGTGGACAGTGTTGGGAATATTGACTCAAATCCCATAAGAGATTTGTTAAAGATTTGTTTGAAATTTGTCAGATATTGCTTGATGGACAAGAAGACTTGCAAAAGAAGAATTCTAAGAGAGAAGATTCTTAATAGGTAAGTTTGACTTGCAAGAAAAGAATTCTAAAGGGAAAGGGATTCTTAATAGGCAAGTTTGACTTACAGGAGAAGAATTCTAAGAGAAAAGAGATTCTTAATGGGTAAGTTTATATGGTTATAAATAGGTGAAGTCTCTACAAGGTTAGGTATGAAAAAAAGATGTAAGAGAGTTGTAGGGTTTTATGGGATAGACACCTTATAGGAGTATTGGGGTTCTACGTTTTATGGGTGTGTATGTTTGTTTGTGAGTGAACTAGAGGAGACTGAGAGGGTTCACATAGATATGATATATGGAAGCATATGAGTATGTGTTTAGTTATGCTGAAAAGATGCACAAAGGTTTGGGTTTGTATTTGTTTAGGTTGAGAATACTCTATAGGACTAGAGGAGATTGAGAGTGTCTTATGAGTATTGATTGTTGAGTGAAGTTGATGATTTGATGTATGTTTGTAATTCTCTACAACTAGTGGATCTTTTTTTCTCATCCGTGGATGTAAGTCAGTTGGACCGAACCACGTTAAATTATTGTCTTTTGTGTGTTTGATTTATTGTTTGATTTCGCTTCCGCTAGTGTGATTGGATTGGAGGCTTTTAGCCCAACAAACAGATCATGGAAAGAGGAGAGCATTGAAAACTTTCTAGGAAAGAAAACACCAGTGCCCAACTAGCCAGCTTTGACAAATCAAAATGCACTAAACCTTGGATATTGATGACCATACAGAATGTTTCCTCCAGAATCTGATTGCCTTAGAGCAGTTTTTCCCTGGAAGAAGTTTGAATCATGTGTCACTGATTATATGAACTTCATGGACTGCCCGATCAACTCTCCAAAAGATGTGGAATTACTTCGTCAGCGAGGATTATTGATAATTGGTTAGGCAATGATGAAGTGATTGCCACCATGTTTAATATGCTTGGTGACTCTGTAAGCATATCCTGTTATTCCTTTTACTCTGAAGTTTTCAACAAGGTCAACATTTATTGCAGTAGACGCTGGAACAAATGGATTGCCAACTTGAAGCATAACTATTTTAACAGTCCTTGGGCATTCCATTCTTGCTGCTGTTGTCCTCCGTCTACTTAGTATGGTGCAAACTGTATTTTCAGTTCTCTCTTATGTTAAGTAACTGCCAACTCTTGCATGTATTCAGTTTTTGCTTTGTTGAGGGGAAAACCATCTCACATCTAATTGCTTTTAGAATTCCGCCAACTCGATCTTTACATCAATGATGATGTAAAAATCTTTTTCTCAAGAACAGGAAATTTCAAATTAAGCATTGGACTAAAGATCTTTGATTGCAAAAGGATGAGACGACAGAGCAAGCAAGGCAACTGATTTCAGAATATTATATACATATTTTCACAAAATTTTCTAAAGATTATAGTTCATTCTGCCAGCTTGCATAATAGCTTTTCTTATATTGTTTTAATTGTTCTGTTTCTTCTTTCTTTTTGAATTATTACTTATCTTACAATAAATCATTTCTTATAATCTCTATTAAGGTCACAATTTATTTCAAAATTTTAAATTGAATAGCATTTTTCAATTCTAAAAATGAATAGAAAAAAATGAAATTCAAATTGTATATCAATTAATTATTAAATTGAAAAGAATTTTGAATAAAAATTAATTCAAATTTCAAATAGGACACATGTTTAAAAAGCAGTGAGAAAATTACATATGACAACCAATATAATGGATCTACTAGACAATACATTTGATGGATAAATCATAAATCAAACACAATACAATAGACTTTCTAATTTCACAATTTGAAAATGCTAAACTCTTGTGTTATTGGTGATAAACTCAGAAGCATCTCTGCATGAAATATAATTTACAAATAATAGAATATTTAGATAAAAAAATGGTTATGAGGTACCCTGAATTCTTTTATTACTTTTCAAAGAAAAGAACATAAAAAATAAAGTAAAACAAAATAACAAGATCAAGTCTTAGGAAAAAGCAGCAAGCAATAATCAATTACGTTCAAATCACTCTTAAACTAATATCACACAAAAGATAAGTGGTACTAACTTGTAATAATAAGTTCACATCGCTCACAGCAAATAATTGTATTTTAAAAAGTATTTTCAATAATTTACATATAATTTATATAATACATAATAAAAGAGGGTATATTTTCTTACTTTCAAAGAGCAATTCCAGAAAATATGGTTTGCATGAGGGTAAGTAGAAGGATGACTGCAGCAGCAAGAACGGAAATAAGTGCCCAAGGACTGTTGAAATAGTTGTGATTCAAGTTGGCAAGCCATTGGTTCCGCCGTTTTCCGCAGTATGCGTTCACTTCCTTAGATACTTCACGGTTGTAGTAGGTTGAGGGGGAGTAGATTACTGAGACAGTAAGCCTATTAAACATGGTGGCAGCTGCTTCGTCATCACCCAAAGAGTTGTCAACAATTTCAGTGTGCGAGTAGTTCCACATCTTTTGCAGAGTTAATAAGAGAGTCCATGAATGTGGCATAATCCGTGATATAATCTATATCTCCGGAAGGGGAAAGCTGCTCCAAGGCAATGAGGTTTCGCAGCAAATAGTTTGTGTCGTCATCGATTTTAAGGTTGGGATTTTCAGAGTCCCTTTTTCAAACTTAATATCAAACAAGCTCTCTCCCTCCACCTTTTTGAACATGATTCCAGCCTCTTTGAGTTCCGTGGCACAACGTGTGAGATTGGCATCCCTTTCTTCCATATTTCGATGGGCCTCAATTTCTATAGGTGAAGGACCCCAGTATTCATGTATCAAGTCCAGTAGATGTCTGATTTCACCGATCGGCTTTACACCATCTTCAAAAAACCTTGAATCTGGTAATGTGTGCTTCAAGAATTCCCTAATCATTCTAGCGAAATCTTCCGAATTGGATATCCCAATCATCTCAAGTAACTCCAATACAACAAAGAAGGGAATTTGATTTTCAAGTAATAACAAATCACGGCGTAAGGAGTAACGCAAACCAGTCACCTTAAAAATGGGGTCATTGTCCACCCTCAATGAAATGTCAAAGCACATCCGAAATAGCTGAACAATAAAGCAACCATCGAGGAGCATCATTGTGACGAAATCATCTGATCCAAGATTTACAGGGTCTGTATAGCAAATTGCGAGCTCTTGTCTCTAATTTCCTCATTGCCATAACATAGTTTGAGACATAATGGATCTCCTCTCTTTCTTCAAGTAGCTTTTGAAAATACCGAAACTTATGCTCTTCCATTGCTTAAGTGAACCTTACCGCGGTGGTAAGGACCGATTGCAAGTTGCTTGGTTCATAGGCCTCCTCATCTACCTTGCGGAGATAATTAGGCACTTTGCAAACGCAACGTTCAGGTTGTATTGGAGATAAGCTTGCAATCATTTCAGTTATGTTAATCGAATCATGATCGTTCGCCATCACTTTCTTCTGCGAATTGCACCAAACCAGGTTAATTATTATTACAAATAGAAATTCCAAACTTTCAAAAGTATAAGCTTACCACAGATGAATTAATATGATCCAAACAGAGAAAAGCTACCACTTAAGTATTCTCAATTGATATAACAGAGGTATAAATTGACTTAAAACTTTAGCACTACGATAAGTTGAAGCATATTATTAGTTTTGCACAATAAATTATAAAAAATATAGTTTTAAATAAACATAATCTGATCTCTCCTTATTATATATTATTTAATTTTTATATAGAGTTAAGAAAATACAAGGCATTTTCATGCATTTATATATCCGATGAGGGAGCAAATAACAAAGGTAGAACTGTTTATTGGCTGGTTGGCAATGATTCTTGCTGCAACCAAAAAGTTAGGCAGTAGATCCAAACTCAACAAGTCACCACGCCGGCCCAACACCAATAAAATAGGCATATGTCGGCCACGGAGCTTGGCAATATCAACACCTAAGTTCTTTTTTGACATTTTAACTGACAACATATAGCTTTGTTTTCAAACCTTGGTTTGACTGGATATGATTTTTCTGGAATTGAATAGGTCGGAATCAAGATTATTATTATTATTATTATTATTATTATTATTATTATAAAAAACGTAAAATAAATTTTGTTCAATCAAATTTACTTGTATTTCTATATAGTTACCCACTTATTAAATTTTTTAATTTAATCCTTAAAATTTGAGTAAATTCTTTTTGTTACCTTACTATTAGTATTTAATGACATATTGGTATGATAATATTACATTAGTTGTCAAGTATTAAATGACATTTCATGTCATTTGATATGACATATGATATTATTAACATAGCATTATAAATTTTAAAAATAAATTTTGCTAATATGGTAATATGACATGGTGCTTGACAGTTGATTTGGCTTTGCCACATCAGCCAGCCATTAGAAATTTACTGTTGGATGAAAAAAAATATTTACTCAAACTTTAATGAGTAAATTGAAAATTTTAATTGTTTAATGATAATTTTAAAAATATGATCATAATTAAATGGTCAATGATATAATATACCTATTAAAAATATTACAAAATTTACTTCTAAAATATTTTTATGTAACTAAAAAAAATTGTGAGTTCGAATTTTTAAAATTCCAAACAAATCGAGCTGGTTTGAGCCATGAATACTTCTACGCAATGACAGGTCCTTTAAGGAGCTTAGGGAGCCATGGCCTCCAAAAATTTTGAATTATTATATATATATATATATGTGATTTTTATAATAATTTTGAATTTTTTAATGAAAAAAATAGTTTGGCCCCCTCAAACTCAAGTTTATTGTACTTATATATATTATTCTTTACTTTATGTATTTATATTGAATATATAGTTACAAAAATTATTTATATTTAAATATTACAACTCTTAATTTTTTAAAAATATACAATTTTTTAATTTGTATTTACTTATTCTAAACACTCTATTTTATTCAGAAATATTTTCAAATTGTTTTGAATTTCGATTTTAATTATACAATTGAGCTTTAATTGGAAAAATAAATTTTGAACCCAAAAATTAACTCATAAATTTTATTTTTATTTTTGCTAAATTAGGTTTGATTTTATTAATAGAAAAAAGATTTGGTAAGAGGTAGCCCTCTACCAATACAGCCCAGATCACCTTAGTCCTTCCATAATAGAACTACAAAACCAATACATCATAGGCCACATGATTCATTCACCACCACGTAAACATATCTGATCTGTTCACTCCTGCATTCGCCAGATCATCTACCATTCAATTCGCCTCACGATGAATGTTAACCTTCTTGACCAGAAACAACTCTCCACTTAATACCTCAATTGTTGAATAAACATCCTTAAACCTTCATGGTCAGTTGATCTCACTTTAACACCAGCTCACAGCAATTTTGAGTCAGACTCAATTACCAACCCACATTATGCCTCCATACTGTTTTCACAAAAACTTCTAAAGCCATTTTCATGGCCAACAGTTCACTTTCATTAGAGTCTTATATAATCCACCAGACCAGAAAACATGGCCAACCCCCTTGGCGTCTACCGAAACTGATACAATCACTTTTGTTGATACCAGAAACCTGTCCAATCTACTTCTTTTACTGCCAGCACCAAGCCAAGTACAACTTATCCCATTTAGTGGGATAACAAGAAGTTCACTGTCGCAATAAAACGATTTGAACTCAGAAGTTCCAAACCATTGTTCACACATCCCCTTTTTTCTGCTGGAGATCTCACAGAGTTGGAAGTCCCCTCCCCTGCTACACACCAGTTACCACTAACCTCGTTCATGTTTTCCATAATATCATCCCAGAGTTCTTTTTTTTCTTTTTTTTTTTTTTTTCCTTGCCTCAGCATCACAAAAAGCGTACACATTAAGTCACAGTTTCCTCTGTCCAAGACCCTTTGACATACATCACCTGACTTCTACATATGATATGGTCTGTTCTGAATCGATCACCATCCAAGATCATTAACAATCCACCTGAGTTGCCAGAAGTCACCAAAAAGCCCACTCAAAGCTCTCATCTGGCCAAATTTGTTTTATCAGAGAATCCGTAATTATCTCTATCTTTGTTTCTTATGTGAATATCTTATCCACC